GTTCGTTTGGCGCGGAAAATGATACGGCGGCAACCCAATAAAAAGTTTGTTGTATGAAGGACCAGGAAACTGCTGAAACCTGAATCGCGAGACTTTTTTGTACTGATTGACGCGATCAATCACACAAAACATCGGTGGGAGCCCTTGCAGGTATAAGGAGAGGGAAAAGCGGCGAGACCTTCGTCAGATAAATATTTATTTATTGGCGATTATTACGGCTTTGTTTTCAAATGGGCATAAGAACCCTGCTCTCGCTCAATCTCGAGAGAGTCGATAATGGCTTAATGTTCGGCTGGCAAACAAAAACAAAAGAGCAGAGATGAGCTAGAGATCGATCAGCCTCAAGTTCGACGCACGATGTTTTCCGAAAGGCCTCTCCTGATACGGTTTATGACATAATGGGCTCGTCCGGTTTTGGCAATTTACATCAGCTATTATTGCTCCTCAGAAGAGTCAGTTATAATGAGCAAGCAGTTCTGTTCGCTGCGCAAAGTAACAAGTTTTGGGAATAGTTTAGAAAAAATCACGACGGAATTTATACATGATGTTTATTTTTCGGGGATTTAAAAATGTAATCGGTAATAATGGGCAATTTAAAACAAAATAATAAAAGAAAAAACCAAATCTTACCACTAAAAATGTTGATATTTGAAAAAAAATTAATAAATAATTATTCCTAGTCGTGGTGTCGTTTTGTCCTGGTTTTGTCCATTAAAAAATTCAATATTTTAATGTAAAAAATGTATTTGTAACAATGTATGTGGACAAATAAACAACAATAGTAAAATAATATTTCCAAGCATGTTAAGCTAAAAAAATTTACCCACACTTGCCTCAATCTCTATGATAATTTAAAAATATATTATAGATAATTTTAAAATAAATTATTTAACAATTAATTAGAGTACTTAAGTAAAGTAGAATAGAAAGAGAAAATTAACATTGGCTACACCCAAAGATGTCATAAATATTTTATCCACATAACAAAGTTAACGTGGGTTTTTGATTAATTGAATTATGAAATTGAAAATTACAAGAAGTTTCACAAATAAATCCAAAACAATATGCAAATTGCGTTCGACAGTTTTTATCGCATTTCTAGAACTCTCGTTTAATTCATTAATTAGCAACTCCTTCTCATGACGATCATAAAATTTTTCTTGCTGAACGATCCGTCAGCGAATCATCATTTAATAAGACGTACTCCTGCCTGTCACAGCAATCAAGGAAAAGAAACTTGTCGTCATTAGTGACAGAGCTCCGTGTTCTCTGTCTCTTAATGAGTAATTAAGATAAAATGCAAATCGCGAATAGAGTCACGTGGAAGCGCGCATTATACAAGTAAATAGAAAATAAACTAGTTGATTATCGCCGGAGCATTCAAAAGCGTCGGCGGGATCATAAGGAACTGCAAAAGGGCAGAGCACATAACAATCCATGGTCAACGGTGCTTCCGTTCGAATTGGCCAAATAAAGGCTGGCGAGAGCGCGTCTGCACGGCAACAAGGATAACCGCTCTTGTTTTCTTTTATTCCCATCGACAATGCTTCACTAATCAGACCGCTTTTTTTCATTTGACTTTATTCATTACAATGAACAAAAATAACACACCGACGTGTTTTACTGCACCAGGAAATACTTCAGTTGTTATAGGAATAAAGCTAGACAAAAATCAAATAATTTTTATCCCACGAGATTTATTTACGTGCATCCCGAGAAGTGCAATTTGTGCTGTAAATCTCAATGCACCTCCAACTTGTATACCTTAATAGTAAATTATCAGTCAGCCTCTTGAAATTTATTGCGTGGCAGCTGAAAAAAGCCCGACCTTTATGAGCGCGGCCTTCCATTCCGCGATCATTACGCCCACGCTCGCGCCGCCCGAGAAAAGAAAGAGCGTTAAAACACTAATCGGGGTGAAACGCCGCAAATCATCGCTCGGACAGCCTTGGTGCCCAACAGTTTGATTTGCTCCGACTAACTCTCGCGTTTAATTTAATTGCCCTTACGCGAGAAAAGAGCCATTTCATGCAGCATATGGCGATGATGCAACGTACATAACTGAACTCGTCTTTTGTCAGCGAGAGGATGTGTTTTGTTGCTGCTGGGATTATTTTCTCGTTCGCTAACTGTTCAGCTAAAAATCTATTCCTCTCGTCGCCTTTTTTTCATTTGCTCTTTACTCAGAGTAAAAAAAGAGAAAACTCAATTACGTCAGGTGATGTGTGGCGATTTATGTGCGCGAGGCAATTTTCGCGCGTGTCGAGCTTGCGCTTAACCTTAAAAAGTAAAAACAAATGTGGATGTAATTACACGAGTGCGCGCAAGTTCACGCCGGTTCACTTTTTTATGTAAGAAATGAAGGTGCCAGGTAAAAAACTTATCTCGACCTTACGTGTTGGGAGAGAAGAAAAAGAGGCAAGATATAGAGACGTGAGTCACGATTCGCGGTCAAAATTGCGGCAAACGGATGCGGATTTTCTAGAATCCAAAACTCCCATAATTGTTGGTGGTGAATTTAAGAACGGGTGAAATAATATTTTCTTCAAAATATGAAAATATTTCTATAAATTTTGAATAGGAGAAAAATTAGTTTGATAATAAAAGTTCAAGCACGTTGGTGGTGAATTTAAGAATGGGTACAACAATAGTACAACAATATTTTCTTCAAATATGAAAACATTTTTATAAATATTGAATAAAAGAAAATTCAATTTAATAAATTTTTTAAATAAAAGTTTAATCATTTATTAAGAACAAAAAGAATTTACCAAAAATATATAAATTAATAATAATTGGCTAACTTATTTAATATTATAAATTTACTCAATATTTCCCTAACTTAATATTACATTTTTTGGAGGAAAAGTTTCGGTATTCCCTTGAATTATAATATATTAATTTATTTTCACTCATTCCACCTGTCCTTCTTCTTGGCATGCAAACTTATTCGCACAAGGCATGTTAGGTAACTTTATTAGTCATTCGAAAAGTCATCACGCTCATAGACCGTCTGATTGGGTCGGGCCGCGTTTTGCATATTAAAAAGTCGCCAGGATTGATATCGAAAGGAACAAAATGCCGTCACGGTCTCGAGTACAAAGGAGTGTCCGCGTGCATCGTAATCGGTTCGGGTTCGAAGGGGGCATTGAAATGGATTTCGGATGCGTTTATATACTATCACCGGCGGGGGAGTTCCAAGAAGCAATTTCAAAGGAGAATTATTTTAATATATGTTAATAGCAACCCTCCACCCTTGGGCCCTGGTAATACGCGCAGACACGGTGATTTATGGTCGGCGGGGCAGTTTAATTTCATGCTTCGGGGAGGTTTGTTCGTTTTGTGCATCATAATCACGATAATGGGCCTCGGCAATCGACATTGTTTTGTTATTAATTTATGGCCGCGTCAACGCACACTCGAAAATCCCACGCAGCCGAATAAATAAATAAATAAAAGTTAGTTGGAATCGATTGGTGCGAAAATGATGAATGCTCGACGGACAAAAGAAGTTTCGGGCGCATTGACACCGCATGCGTTCGCGAGATATAACCAAATAATAATTCTCGCGCTGCGGCTGCGAATGGGATTTGTATTATTTTTCACGGCCAGTTACATGGTTTACCAAGAAACGTGATGCAGCAACCGAATCATTCCATCCATAACGCGGCGGTAACCGGTGTGCGCGCACTATTATTTCAATTTACTCTTTTTAAAAAACCGCTCGGCGTGTTGTCGCAGGCAGCATTTGAATATAATAATCGACTCGCCGGTTAGCATGATTACATTTTAATTGCAGTGAGCTTGGCGAACGCGCGGCTCAGGGTCACTCACCCTGGCTTCGGCGACGGACCAACCAATGGCTCAATCGATACCGCTGCCGGCTGATTTGGAGTTCCTTCTGATTATTATGCAGATAACTCAACCGGTCGACAGCCCGTCAACAAACGTTAGCCATTTTCATGATGATCAACGCAAAATTATTGACGCCTCAACTTTGGAATTATCATCAATGTAAAAATCTCAGAGCCAATAACGAGAAACCAGTTCCAGTGGACTGTAAATAAAATTAGCTTTGTATAATGAAATTTTAAAAATAAAGTTTCAGATGGTGAAAAATTATTTTTTAAAACAAATAGTCTGCTACACTTTTAAGGAATTAAAAAGTATTAATTCACAATCTTTTATAATAACATTATTTAATTAAAATTGTTAGATCTCTATTATGGATCGAGATTAATTATACTAAATAACTTAAATAAAAGCAGCAATGCCCCTTGATAATAGTTAATATTAAAATATTATGGATAATTTTTAAAATAATATTTAAAATACCTTTTATAGAGAAATGTTAAAAGAGTAACAATATTATATAATAAAACTTTATTGTTCATATTGTTATTTAGGGTTATGTAGGCTACTTATTTGTTTTCTTACTAAATTTTATTTATTATTTGATATTTTAATGTTGATAATTTAAAAAATTATATTATAATAAATAATAATTATATGTAAATTCTTTTAAAATATGGTTCTTACCATTTTTAAGGTAATTATTGGTTTTTTTTAATACCTAAAACATTATCATTAATTTACAAATTTAGCAGAAACGTTTAGATTTGAATATTCACCGGGTCTGTTTCCAAAGTGGTTTTTTAATTTAGAGCGTATAACAGTAGAAAATGAAGACAGCTCCAACTACGAAGCGACTTTTGTGCTACTTAAAATTGAATTAAGAGAGTTGCAATTTACAAATCGTTTTCTGCCAGTGCAAGAATTCATCACCCCGCCTTTAAGACGGGAAAGATAAAAAATTGACAGGCCGGCTTTCAACGTGTGTTTAGTGACCCTTGGGGCCACTAATTGAAGAGCGCTCATAGCTCATCGGCAATTTGCCGCCGAGGTGCAAAAACGACCGAGCGGGCGTGTTTCATTCTTTCAATGAGCCTCGCAATTTCGTCCGGATGACGCAATACTCGTTTTTAGCAAAGGGCACTCACTTTTCTTTGTACTTTTCCTCCTCCGCAGCGTTGAGGGTGCCCTGCGTGCTACGTGCGGGCGCGCTACGTACTTGAGACGCACGGCCGACTTCTTCCTGCGCACCACCGGCCGACGTCTGGGCACCGGCGACACTCCCAGCGGCACGTAACACCGGTTCTCCTCCTCTTCATCTGAAGATTCACCACCGAGTCGTTCGTAGGTCGTGTCATCGTCCTCGGCTTGCTGAGCGTCCTTGCGGGCCTCGTTGCCCGCGTACGTCGCACTGTCCGGGTGTCTGATCTCAGACACAGCGTACCGCCGGCCACTTTGCTGCCGACGCTTCTCCGGAGGCACAAAGAACATGGGGTCCATCTTCAAAGACTTGAGAGAACGAGGACGTAGCACTTGGTAAAGGTCCAGGGTGTTGGTTGAGGCGGCCGAGGCGGCCAGACGCTTGCCGGCCGCCCGACCGCGACTCCGTTTGGCCTCCTGCGACTTTCTGGCCTCGCTGGTTCGTTTGAAGTAGCCATCCCTGCTGACGCTGAGACGGGGCTTAGGAGGCTTCCGTCTGAAGAATCCCTTGGTTGGATTCAATCTGGGGATGGAAAAGGAAAAGCCAGAGTCCTTTGACTCAGAGGATACCGTTTTCGTGGAGCCGGTGGGCAGCGGGGGTGGTTCCTCCCGCCGCACGCACTTCAACCCGCTCTCCAAAGAGCGGTGCGCTCGACGTTCAACCCCCGAGCAGCCGGGCATATCGAGCCTCCTGGCTGAGACGGGGGGTAGTTCAAGACTTCGGGGCGTTCTGGATACCGGGGGAGGAGGGTCGATCCAGATGGGTGCGAGACTGGCGTCCTTGGGGGTGAGGGGAAGGTCCGAGTCCAGAGAGGTCGCCGGGGAGGGTCGGGCGCTCACGTGGATGCGGTGGCGGTGCGCCGTGACTCGGGGTGAGTGTTCCAACGGGGTGATCTGGACACTCTGCACGTTTTGCGTTTTGGCCGGCGACTTTTTTTCGTCCGACTTGAGCAGCCACTGGCCGTAGTCGATGACCAGCTCGTCGTCCGGCGGCAGCGGCGCTTTGCAGACGGAGGCGCTGCTGCCGCTGGTGGACGCCTTGGGCTGGATTTTGGCATGTCCGCGCTCCAGGTAGTGTCTTTTGATGGAAATTCGGCGGAAGGAGTCGCTGCGTTTGAACGGCGCTTCGCTCTTTTTCTTGCGCCCGCCGCCCATGAAGCGGCGGATTTTGTCAAACATTTCCGAAGGAAAAAACAAGCACTTCTCTCACAGCACTGTCACTGGCATCGTGGTGGGGCACTCACGGAGCTGCGTTCAGGTCTCCGGCACGGCAGTAACTGAGGGAGAAAGTGAGAGAACCTGGCTGGCAGGCAGGAGAGGAGCAGCCAGCGCCACCACTACTACTGCACGGCCGCACCTCCAGCATCCTCGGCGCAAAAAAGGTTGCCTCGTTCGTTTGGGTGACCAAAGGAATTTTCGCAGCCGCACGACATGCAAAGCTGCTCGGTGCTTGGCTCTAGGGGGCTGCCGACGTATAATATTTCTCCCGGGATAATTAAATTTTCGGGCTTGTCGCACCTGCGGCTACAATTTCACCTCAATGGAATCAAAAAATGTTACTTTATAATTGCGATCGTAAAACAAAAGAGACTTTATGGCCGGCCGTAAAGTTTGGGATTAAAATTTGTAAATTATAACCGTCACACAAAAAATATAATAAAATAAAAGGAAACGGTTTTGTCTGATTAAAATAAAATCAGATATTTTTATTTTATATAAAAACAAATAATTAAATGAACCGAGCAAGGGAAGTTTTTTATTTATAAATGTATTAAATGTTGCTTGGCGATTTTCTTGGGTGCCATCGCGTCGTGTTTTACTCCGAGGGGCCGTGAGCGGCGGCAGAGTTGCCATAACCGCTGCTACCATGGACCCCGCAGGCATGCCTCACAAGGTCACCACCGGCTGGCCAAGCCTCGCCGCACCAAGCCAACGAGCAAGCCGCTTCTTGAGGGAAGCTCCATGTGTAAAAATCCGAGAGGAAATTCCAATCGGACAGGATTTTTACACCGTCGTGACCACTAACGACGGACGACTTATCATGCAAATAAATTTCAAATGAAAAGAAAAATCGGCTGGAGGAAGGAAAAATAAAATTTTATTTTCATCTCGGCGGATTCTTTGTTTGACTTTGGGCGGCCGAGTGCAAATATAAGAGGCTGCCTTTTTAATCGGGCGGCGAAAATGGAGCAAAAGCAAACGCTGGTCTATTTGCAGAGCTTTTGGTGTTGTTTCAAGTTCAATGGCAACGGGCGGGCGAGAGCGAAGATGCCGCCGCGCGCGCTGCGGGATCAAAGCACTCTCGCACAGCATCTCTCTCGCTCTCTCGGGTTGGTTATCCTCCTCGGCGAGACGATAAAATGAAAAGCAGAGGCTGCAGCAAACGCTCTCGGGCTCTCTGCCGATAAATTGAGAGGTATAGAGGAGAGGTTCAATAAAACCTGAACGCCGAAACCACACACAAGCGCGGTAGCTTCTTTGCTGGTTTTCAATTAGCAATTAAATTCGCGTAATTTAATTAATTTTTCGCACGGCGGTAGGAGAGGAAATTTTGTTCGGATCCGTTTCGGTTCAAACTTGGTCTATTCTGGATGATGATGTAACGAGTTGAATGATGGTGCTCGCACGAAACCCTACACCTGCATCGGCAGCCCGCGTGTAATTTGACTTGCGATGGTTGCCGTGATTACCACAAGCAGTCATGTTGATTAGGGTAGCAAGGGCGCAGCGGATTACAAAAACTTGTATTATTATTATTTTAATGCCACGAGGACTCTGCGTCTAGGGTAAGGGTTAAATACCTGAGTGATGGATTCCAATAAAAAATAAACTATGGGCGCATATTTATTTTTATATTTTCAAAGCAAATATATCGGATATTTTACTTTAAAACCATAAGATTGCCTGTCATTTTTTTACCATTTTAAATTTAAAACTCATCAAGTTATTGTTTATATTTTCTTTTAATTTTTTTTTATTTAAAATTTGGATAATCCATGTTTTATTCATCAATTAATTATACATACATTCATATAAATTTTGAGAAAACAGGTAAATGTGTATGTGAAAGCGACTTAAATAAACTTTTGGATATTAAAAATGTCGCTTTTTATGTCCCAACGAAAATCACAAGAGAGCCGAATACAAAAAAGACCCTGCGACGGCCTTTCCCACAGAGTCACGCACACAGCAAAACAATTTCTTCTTCTTCGCTCGGAATAATTTTTCTATACGCGCACCGTTTCACCTTTCTAAAAAGTCGTGCTTTTGTCTTTTCTGCTGGGCTGGCGCGGGCGAAAGAAACGCGCAATAAATTATCAGCGACGTGCTCGTCCGATATAAAATAGTACAATGAGAAAGCGAGTGGCACGAGTGATCTGTCACTTCTTCTTTCTGGCCCGCTGATTAGTTTGTCACCTAAACTAACTAAATAGATCAGCGAAGTTAATCGATCAGTTCTGCCTGCGCGTCTCTCTCCGTGGCCTTGTTTCGTCTTCAGCGTTTTTTATCCTCGTAGCAGCTGATTGTTTTTCTGCTTGACGAGTGATTTCAACGCTGGGTGTTGTCCGTGCGGAATCGGCCCATTCAACCAGTTGATTGCGATCGGCTCAAGGACTCTAGTTTTCCAAAGACCACATCTCGTGGGCAAAAAAAAAAGATATTAACGAAGGCCTATTTTTTCTTAAAGAGGCCGAGCCGCCGAAAAGTTGCTGATTGACTGCCAAAATGAATAATAATCAAGATTGTCAGCAGATTTATTCATAAAGAATCAAGGCAAAATTTGAATTTCAAAACCTTTTCACAGTAGGAAGGTGAGTTTGTTTTCAACTCGAAAGTAGAACTTTGGTGCGAATAAATTTATATATGCATTGCGAATAATGGCAGATAACTCTAGCACGCGAGAGAGGAGACAAGTTTTCTCATTATTGTTTAATAAAGTACTTAATTGTAAGTACGACCTGCTGAGCCTAATTGCGAATCAGGATAACCCACAGACGCCGCGGGTAAAAGTAGATCTGCTACTAACTAAGCAAGTTCATCTCACAGAGCGGTAAAAAGGCGGCGAAATTACTTTCTTTCTTTTTTTCTTTTGCAATTATATCTCTGCGCCATTAAACCACACCAACTTGTCTGAAGAGCAATCAGCCACTTCTTGATATGCCGCTCGTTAGAAGATGAGGATTGGAAAGACAAGCGTAATTTGAAATAAGCACCTTTTTTATAAATTGCAAAGTACATAAAAACCAAAAAGAAAATTTTCATAAAAATCTTAATGATTGTGAAATAAATTAAATTAATTTCCATCAAGATAATTTGTATGCTCCATAAGAAAGAAAATTTTCACGCGCTTGGAGGCGACAAAGCGTTGAGCAAAGTGCAAAAGTGAAAGCATGAGAATTAGCCTGGCAGATCCAAATCGGCGGGCGGGCGGGCGAATATCTCACGCTCATCCGGATGAATGGGATCAAAAAATCAAAAGCGTCCTTGTCCCATTAGCGAGTGGTTGCGTGATTGGAGCCGGCTGATTATCAAACGCCGCATCACGAAAATGAACGAGCAAGGGCAACAGCACCGTTTTCATACATGTCTACTGACTGTTGACCCCTGGGCTTCCACGCGGTGTTTTATTATGTGAGCGGTGCGGTGGTGACCGCTGAGTCGTGCAGAATTATCAACCACGACATTCATGCAACGCTGACTGAGGTCACTCTCGGCATATACAGGATCCACCGCGGTGCATAATAGACAATTACCATGAATGCGCAGGAAAAATTCGATGGTCGCGTTTGGAGCATCCGGCTTGGCCCCGAATGTAAAATATTTGCATTTGGTTTTAATCAAAATTAAAATAATAATAATCTATTAGCTATATTGGGTTTTTAATAAAATAAAAGGTTCATTTGAAGATCCATAAATTTTAATTATTTTGCTTTCAGAAATAGCTGAAAGCTAAAAAAGATTCACAACTTGAAATCTGAGAAATTAGGATTTATTGTCTCTGGCTATATATTGACTCTTTTCTCTTTCCAAAGCTGAAAGCTCCCAAATTATAAGAAAAAAATAAGACGTCTCTATTTCCTAAAATTGCTAGCTTACGTCATTTTACAATCTCAATTTGAAGAAGCTTTTAACCGGCCCTACTCTAACAAATTGGCGCTGAAATCAGATCCTGAGAGCATCAAAAGATCCTCCCAATTACGTCCGTCAATAATAATGGTGATTGTCAGCAGCAATGAGCTCAGCCTCGCTCGATAATTCTTTTGAAAAAACGAAATTCAATCGGCAGGTGCGTTACTGACTGACATTGCCTTGGCGAGTGATTTTTCCGCGCCACGGAGCACCAACGAGCAAACACAAATTCGTGGGAATGCACACGTTTTTCCCGCAACGACCACCGCATGCATGTGCACAAATGATGGCAAAAAATCAACAGCAAACTGGTGCGCTCTCCTTCTTTCTTGTTTGAATAATCGTAGCGCGCACTAAAAGTATTAAAACGGTACCCTGATTACGGCCAGCAGCGACGCCAAGGACTGTAATTATTTCCAAATGATAACGCTGTGTGGTGCCACCAGGAAACGCATCGACCGACCGACAACTGCTCTTTAACTGCTTTTATTATGGAAGGTGCATTTTCTTATAGAGTAGCTCTTAGTCCACACAAGACGATTTTAAGCTGGAAAATAAATAAAAGTAATTCGGTTATACTGAAGAACGGCTGCTGGCGAAGAAATTTGTTTTAGTTCTAGTCATTGTTGTGCGTTTTGACCTGAAAAGCGTGCGACTGTGTGGGAGTGTGCTGCGGTCTTACTTTTATCAGCCGTGCTTTCTCTAACTTACACGGTGGCGATAAAATGGGAAGAAATCTGGAGAAATGACAACCGGCTAAAACACTTCTTTTTTCACTTGTTTGTCCCAAATTCGCAGCGGCTGTAAAATGCAAAACTGTTGCGGATGTGAAATTTTTGTTCCCTTCGGCTCGTCTGCTGGGAGCAAAGTTTCTACTCGCTAATTTAATGTGATAAATCTGTTTTACAAATTAATTAATTAATTAGTCTTAATTTATTTTTCTTCTAAAAGTTACAAATATTCCATTCCTTTGACCGAATATGTATATTTTTCATTTTTAGAGAATTGTGTGAATTTGAGCCAGCACGGAGTGATAAACCTTTAACCCTGACCTTCTGATCGTTTATTATTTTCTTATTTTTAACGGACTTAATCAAACGACTTTAGGAATATAAAAAAGAGCACCCTTCTTTCTTTTACGAGA